ACAAAAATAAAATCAATTAAAAAAAGTATTAATTAGTTTGTGGGGTCAGTGCTTCCTTAATTGGTTTTCGTCTCCTTGTTTCGACCTTTGATATTAATTATAATAAGTTAATAACGAAAGAATTAATCAAGAGAAATACGTTTGATGATAATTAAAGATTTAAAAATTTTGTTTTAATTATTTTTTAATAAGAAAAATGACATTATTGTAATAGTAATTGAAAGAGTAACAACAATGAAGAACATGATATAATCTTTTATCTAGGAGAGTAGAAAGAGAATTTTTTTCCCGCTATAATCTAGTATAACGTATTGATGGATGTAGGATATTATCTTAAGTATATTAATTAAAATCTAATAATATTACTAACATCAATTTTTTTCACTTTTTTCTTATTAATTGAAGGAAAAATTTGGTTTAAATAAATTAAACTTACAAATTAAGACTTTCAATGATTCCATTTGAATTTGTTCCATCAAATGATGATGAATGATGGTCAAGAGATGCTAAAATAAAATATGAATTTTTATTACTTATTATAATTATACATCTTTTCTAAATAAAACTGATACGTCAAAATGTTTTTCTTTACTCAATATAAACATTAAAGTAAATAGAAAAACGAATTTTTTCCTATACCAGAACAGTTTTTATAAACTCCTATATCTATTTCATTATCTAAAAGTATTCGAACACAAAAAAACTCATCCATCGAATATTATTAGCTGATGATCAAATTTTCTATTAACTTAGTCATAGTAAACTGTTGCTACTCAACTACACAAAATTCAAAATTATTCTGAATAAAAAGGTTGAAATACGTACAGTTACTGAATGTTTCAGTATCATGACTTTTATTGTCTATCAATTGTCGTTTAAAATCACGACGACGACGAGAACGAGATGGTGATATTGAAATATCTAAATAATATATTATTAAAATAGAAAATGTTTTATTTTTATTTTCTAATCATTTACCACCGTTTTCAAACAAATTATTTAAATATTATCTCATCAACTTTTTGACTCCTTCTCTTCTCACCTCCAACAATCAAGAATCTCCAGCGTCCGCTTCCCTCTCATCATAATGACGTCCGATATTTCAGTTGGAATTATCATAGATCATTGGTTCTAATCAGAAATACTTTTAGTAAATATTTGAGTCTAATAGGCCAAATTTGCATCTTACTCCTTGCTCATATGACATTAAAAATCCACAAGGGTTCGTTTTTATAAATAGGAGGCATGAAATAGCTTAAAGTTAAAGGTAATATTTTGTTCAAAAGGAACTTCCACATTCCTTTCTGTTACAATAAGCTGGAAAAAAATGTTTGTGCAACATAAAAATCTTGCTTTGCTCAAGACAGGAATTAATTTCTAGTATACAAAAAATTGGCTCCTTTTGAACTCCTCGTTTGGCTTCATACCACGGTCTTTGGCTCTGTATTTTCTTCATTTGTGGTTCTAATCTAATGGAAAAACACTCACAATAGCTAAAACAACGTGACCTTGTCGAATATGAGCTATAAAAGCTCCTTCAGGGCATCATTGACTACAAAATTGGCGATTACCGGTCAAAAACTTGCGTTTTCTCTAAGCCCTACAGAGATTAGGTTTTCCATATCCGTTGATAGAAGATTAGAACCAATGTGAAATTTGGCCTTCATACCTAACTTTGGATGCTCTTTCTGATGGTGGATTCAAAAAGCCGAAAAGATTTGTGCGCCAATATCTTTTAGGGTTTTCTGGAAACCCTCTTTGAGATCTAAAGGGATTCAACCGAAATCGACCTCATCATCGTGTTCAGCATACTCAATAACCTTTGCACACATTTTTTTGGTAATAAAAGTTTTTCTAATATGTTGGATTAGGACACATATCTGTGATTAGCCCTGTAGGTGATGTAGCCAAATTGAAATGGTGTGGGTGTGGGTATTACTAGAAAAAACACCCACACCCACACCTAGAGAGTTCTTCTTAAAATTATTTTTCTCTGCAAAGAATTGCATCCTCTTGCCTCTTATTCATACTGTCATTTTCTGAGTACTCTAGACACATATTAGCTTAAACAAATATCTGTTTAAACATTTGGAATAAAAAAAGAACAAGGTTGGAAATGCTGACAGTATAAAATCTTCTTTATTTCGTCTTGAATCGCCGTAATTTTATTAACCTGATTATATAGAAGCAGAAAAGCAAATCAAACTTTAGCGAACGGTTAATTTAAAATAAATAGAACAGAAAACAAAATCATATTGCGTGTACATATCAGCATAGTAATGTCATGTGCGACAATGTCTCTTATAAAATATTCTGTATGAAAAAGTCGGTGCAGAAATTTTATGCGCGTACGTGTCGTATTACCGTCATTTTCTGTGTATAGTAGTGTTACCTAAATTGCAAGCCACTGTGTCTTCAGGCATTTTTACTGACGGTAGAACTGTCAACCAACCGAGAACCGGTCGGAGAGCGTTGGTTTTTGAATTTTGTCCAATACCTAGAAAACCGGCAATCAATTTCATTTTGATATCTACTCCATTGTTGTCAAGAATAAAATCAGTTTGTGTGACGGCTTCGTTAAAATCAGAGACATCGACTCTATGGGTTCCATTCTATTAAGAAGAGATAACAAAGAAGCTATGTTATAATCTAGAGAACAAATATAGTATTACCTTATCACTTCTTCCAGTTTGTCGATAGCCACCACTATGATTTGTAATATACCTAACATGAAAATAATCAGAGCTATTAACTAGGTAAACATTTCCTAATCACCCTCCTATATGGTGCAATTACAGCTAGAAATAACTGGGACAGTTTCTTGTAGTCTAAATCTGGATCATATTAACATTTTACTGTTACAATATAGTCGAAAAGATCATACTAAATAGGCTTTTAGTTTAATATTATAGCTGGAAATAACTAAAGGTGAAGTATATATGTGTAGCATTTGATAAAATGGTGATCATCGAAGTCCTTTTTTTTCTATCTGAAAAAGGTGCTAAATACTCTAGAGTGTAATACGTACGGAACAAAATCGACAATCCATCCTGTCAAAAACATGTCGCCGCATCCGATAGAACCTTCATAGAGAATTCTCCGCCACCAAGCAATGTCAGGATTTCCTTGAGCACTATCTTTGAGTCTTTGCACATGCAGAAGAAGTGGATTGAGCCACCAATGCAAATCGGAAAAGAATATTTCTAATTGATTCAAACGATCAATTATGGACTGGAAATCATCTGGTGAGCCCAACAAAGTCACTTGTGGAATGCCACACAAGATACTAAAATCATAGTCAAAATAACTTTTAACAGTGTCCATTAAACATGCATCGAACACTGCTTGTTGTACATTTGTTGTTTGTGAAAAAGGCTGCGTGATTACAGTGGCAAGATCGACTTTTATATTCGCTTTGATTAAATCACCCATTCGATGTACAGCTTTTGGCCAATGGATCGCCGATATTGATAGATTTACTTTTGATGCCCTCTCATCAGTCGAAATCAAAAGATCGTCTACTGACACAATTAGTTTCTTTTTACCTTCGTGCGAGACAAATAGTTGACGATATTTTTCAGCATTTTCATTAAGATGTATACTAACACCTTGAGCGATTGCTACCCAAATGTCTTCAACACTTAATTCAAGCGAGTAGTGATGTGAGTAAGCTATAAGTACAGTGCCAACAAATGCGTTAGCTATACGATAACCAATGTTTCCAGCCAAAGGATGTACAAGTTGAATATTCTCGAGCTGAAGCGTTTCGTTTTTACCTGCCCATCGCTGCAAATCTTCGTTCGAAAGATATTGAACTTCGGGGTGAACAATTTTACCAGGTTCAACTTCACATACTGAAAAATTTCTAGCGATAACATTGTGAACTATAGCTGATGATGCAGCAAAACAGGCAAGAACAAGATAAACACATTTGATGTATTGATGCAGATGCATGACAAAAATATACTGACAGAGGAAGTGCTTTCTATTGCATGATTATAAATAACTTCTCATGTTACGGGCTGATGTCTACAACGGAGTGGAAAGAAATGGCACGTTTGCAGGTGGACATGTTGCAATAAAGCACAAATATGATCGCTTACGTAACCAGTAAAAAGTTATATTACAGAGGTCGCCAGAAGAAAAGTATGTGCGAATGCGAACTCGAATCCAAATGTTTTAAACAATTCTTGTGAGTTTCGACCTCAATTAAGGACTCCTTCAGACGCTTTTAACTAAGTATCTGTTAGAATGATCTTTAGAATGGTGTAGATGTCATGTGTGGATGAAAGAAATACTTACATTTACATTCACATACGCATCCTCAAGTCATCTTGTTGCTTTTGTTATTTATAATAATACGAATTTAAGCAACATGGTTTATTATTTACATTCACATGCAAATATCGGAATTAGTTACTAAAGTCTGAAAATCGAAACCATCTAGTACTTCAATAACCCTTCAGGAGGTTTTCTGAAGTTTTTCAAGAACTTTTTGTTTTTATTCATGCTTCCTAAAAATCTACGACCCTTCTATGGAGCTTCTAAGAACACAAATAGGTAAGGGTGAGAGTATAGTTGGGTGTTTGTGTCCTCTACTCGCTTCTTCATCACTAAATACTTCCACACATCAAAGTCACTTTGCCAAGATTATGTACTACACTGTAATATTTAGCTATAACTACGTTCACTTGTTCAACAAAAACATAAAAATATTGTGCTTATGTGACAATATCAGTGAAGAGTGAAGTTGATGCAGCATCTACGATAATTGATGATGCTGTTTCAATATGACCCATTGATCGAAGAGAAGAAGAATATATAGAGATAAAATCTGCTGAAAGAAAAAGAATTTTAAACGAATATAATTGTTTTTTTTACAATTTCTTAATCAAAAGAACGGAGAGTAACAGAGACTTTTTCATCATCAAAAGAAAATTATGGATATTTATTGAACAAATATTCATTTTTTTAAAAAACGAAAAGAAATCATTGAATGCACCGAAACGTAAAATTTTCCAAACATTGTATAAAATGTCATTAATATGTTCTACAAAACATAGGTAAATACGAAATGAAATAGGACTTTATTTTGATTCTGAGATTGAATAGTTTCTTGTAAAATATCGAAATAATCCAGTCTTAAAAGTTTTGTTGGATTAATGAAGATATTGTTGGAACCAATAATAATTATTTATTGCAAAATTCATAATAATTATGTCTTAATGCACAATAGAAAATAATAATGTATAACTACATTATAGAAGTTTATTGTAGTAGAAAATCGTACAGTGGAGCCTTTATATAATTTTTGAAATCAGTAATATTCGGCATATTTTTTTGGATTTTGGGGAAACGGCAATCTCAATAGACACATTAAGCTAATAAATTGAATAAGGTGACACAAAGAATTTTTATAGACAAACAAATTCATAAGTAACTCGTGCACTGTTGAAACAGAAAAAAAGACTTGAGTTTCTAGTCTTGCTGTATAAATTTTTCTTTCGATGAAGAGGAAAATTATATCAAGTAGGTTTGAACTTTTCATGGGTGATTCATTGACGGCATTGTTTGAAGAAAAATCTGATGACTCATATGATAACTATGATAAATCAGTGAAATATACTGCAAAGCTTCATTTTGCACAATTTGTTCAATATTGATTCGTTCATTTCACGTATATTGAAGTGATTTTAAACGAACTTCTTTCTCCTATTAATTGTGACAATATAAGATGAATTTGTCATATCTTCTCATAAAGTAAATAACATCTGTAAACGTCATTCCAAATGGTAGATTTTGCTGTTCAAAAGTCATTTCTTACATTGATATAGATAAACCTCAACTGAAGATAAAAAAAAGAATTTAAAAAAGTGAAATTAACGATTTTTACGTTTCATAGAATAGAATTCAAGAAATCAATACGCATAGAGGGAGGTTGAGAACTTATTTCACCGAACCAGAAATCGAATATCTCCAGCGTACGTTGATCAAATAAGTTGATTCTTCTATCAATAGTAAGGGAATGTGCATAAGTCATATTCATAAGAAGCTGCGTGGTGAATAGGATGTGTGGAAGTGGGTGCTGGTAGTGTCAGACGGTATCTACACGCACGCGTACACCCATATTTTACGTAGATATTGACAGAGGATTAGTGATCACAAACTTATAACGTTTTTGGCTTCGTATATAATATTCTTTGCGTCTCTTTCTTGCAGAAAGAAAAAAAACTGAAAGATTGAGTGTACTGTATATTATAATTATTATTTTTACTAATAAGTATCTAAATGATGTTTTCAATATTTATATTTTAAGTCTTACTAATTTCACTGCTCTATTCTGTCAACACTCAATAGGCAAATATATCAATACAATATTGAGATTATTAATGAAAAGGATCTGATGTATAATATCATCTCTTTCAAAATTCAAAATTTGCAACGCTGAAGATCAATCTTTAATAGATATTCGAAGTGATCAACGAGAAGTTTTTCTATTTGCTTCAATCTTATTTTCATTGAGGTTATATTGCGTTTCGTAGTTCTGAACATATAAAAAACAGACACAAATATCCTCTTAAAATACATTTCTTACATTGTGAACCATTTATAAGAGTATATGCTGGTATTAGGATTCTTTTCTATTTTTGAGATGACGATAATGCATATTTAAACGATTTTGCATTAGTTTTTATTCGTATTGTTAATACATTGGTAGCTATTAAACAAGTAACGCTAATCGACAATTGATTAACTTGAACCTAGACTGACTTAGTGATCTAAAAACAGATGTGCATCTGCATCCGTCTGTCTCTGTCATCTAGTAACCACATGCCAACTATGGTTCAGATGATCACAAGCAGGATCTCAAGGACCATAGAGCTGTTTCAAATAAGTAATAAAGTGCAAAAATGTCTCAAAAACACAAGAATGGTACATGTAACGACAAACACAGACAACATTGTCATATCTGTGGTTTTTTAAACACTTTGTTTGATTCGTTAGGTAACATCTCTGATTTCGAGGACCACTATTGGACAAATTTGAGCACATTTTTCCGCTTATGAGCCATATATTTGATAAATCAATTGGTCAACTGTGTCGCATTTTCTTGAATATTCCAAGTGCTTTGTGGGATTCGATCAAATCTTTCGTCACATAGGCCGTAGTTACGGTCACTTTTTTTACATTTATTCTAATTTCGACCGAATTTTCCACCATATTTAGCACTAACTCACTTGTGCCATCCCTATGGTCAACGATCATAGGGATGGCATAAGTGCACGACAACATGGTATACATCACCAAGAAAGCCATTTGTACCATCAATATCAACACTTGACGCATAAATGCGGTGATCTGTACCAAAGCCATAGTCGTTTTTACTACGACCTTTACCACTTGTACCAAGACTGTGGCCATTTGTACCACCAATATGGTTATTTGTATCAAAGCTGTAGCCACTTATTCCATCAGAACGGTCATTTTTACCACGACTTTGGTATTTTGTACGCCGGGTATGGTACTTTCTACCACGAAAATCGTCACTTGTACTATGACTATAATAATTTCTACCATGAAAATGATCATTTATGCCAAGTGTTACAGACAGACAAAAACAGGTGAATTTCCGTTTCTAAACCCTATCATTTCAGTCTAGGAAATAAAAAATAGATTTATTATAGGGTTGTGTGGGCATTGGGGTGAGATGAAGATGAAAGGACTAATACCCATACCAACACTCTACGAATGAATGGAGTGCGGATATAGTTGTGAGTATTCTTTCTTTTCTTGTATACATCCAATCCCATCATTCCATCCATAACTTTCGTTTTATATACCATTGATGATTCTGGATTTAGTATTCTCTTGAATTCTATTAACAAAGGACCCCGTCGGATTTGCCAAACTATTTGTTTAGGAAAACTAAATACAGAGTTTTGTACAGCTCGAAAAGTTACATTAAATGGTATGTAGAACAAATTGGTTTCTGTCAAGTTTCATGATTTTTCCTTACATACAATACTTTTTAGTGTCAACAAATATTTATGGTTAAAAAGGCTAGAGCCCCATATTAAAGTGATCCTGTGTGAGTCGTTGTTGGGGTGCAGTAATAATTAGTGTTTTATTTATTTTTGTAGACAAATTTTTGCTCTACAACTCTGCTTATTTCATTATTTCGTTTGAGAGGAAGAACGTCTTTTTCTTAACCAAAAACATAAAAACCTTTAATTCAAACTAGGATGTGCTTATGGGTACACCCACATTCCATCTTTAGGATAGGATAAAAATAGGACTGGCTCAGTTCCAGCTCGAAAGAAATGATAAATAGTTGAAATCATCTTGTAAACTATTTTTACTTCTTATCCACTGTTCTAGTTAATTGACCCTGCTTGAAATAAATAATGAAACTATGGGTATTGTTAAAAGAGATCATGAAACATTAAAGCTAAGCTTTAATCACTACACATGTATCTTGATTTATAGTCATCGACCACAAATACAGTCGTCTATGTACAGGCACCATATACAGGTTTCATTTGTATTTCTAAACAGCACACGATTTAAACAGCCGATTGCCTGTCATACAAATATTTGTAGAGCAATTTACTTTTTTCTGTTGTACATGTAATCAATCCAAAACAAAGGTAAAACAAAAAGAGAATAAAAAAGAAAGAAACAAGCGGAAAGTAATACATCAATCATTCATATCTAGTTATCATAAGAAAACGACACCGATTAGACTACTGAATTTTTTTTCTCCCCTTTATATTGAATATGATCAAGTACAAATAGCTTATTTCTGTTGCTAACAAGTACTTGTAAACGCACTCTTCAAGTTATTTAAAAGGATTTAGATTTTAGTGAAAATCCTTTCAAGTAGTTTACGTAGATGAAAAATCAAATTTGTTACTTCTTGTCCACTACTTAGAACTTACCTATCAGGCAGCAGCTCGTAAGCACTAGATTATTAGGCAACATGAGCATTGATTGCGTGTAGAATTTAAATATACATTGGGGATATGGGTGGGATCAAATAACACGTCAACAATCACACCTAAACGTAAAAACCATGAGTCTCTAAACATTTTTATCTCAATATCGTCATTTATGAATACTTGACCACGCAACTATGCTTATCATTTATCACATTTCTAGTTATCATTGTTAAATACGCAGGAATATGATTGTTTATTGCTTAATTTTGCTCTACTTTGTAAATAAGTTCCTAAATATAGAGAAAATGTCAAGCATGATGATCTTTTCCGAATCGTACTTTTTTCTAAAGTACACAGCTTCCAGACATCTGCATGGAGTTTCTAGTGGAATAAATATTAGTTTCTGATCTCATTTCGAACATCTATATTCTGAAATCCAATAATTTAAGTTTTCTCGAAAATATTCAATCCTTTAGTAGAAAAAAAACCTGGTACATACACTTTCACGAAAGCAATAAAACACGTTATATACCAAGCAACTTCGTCATAGTCTCCTTGGAACTTTGCTAGCACTTCTTCAGTAATCTTTTATCATCAAAATATACCTCGGTTTACGCTTTATAAAACTATATCAAATTCTTCTAAGACTCTCGAGAATCAGCTATATACCAAAAGCATCAAGGATAAAACACAGCATGTTGAACAGATGGAATATTAGTCAAGTCTACTCAATATAGAGAATTTTTTCAATTCATGGCGTAAGTAACAGAATGTAGAAAATAGAAAATTTAGCAGAACAATTTTCTCTCGTTGGAATGGTATAATTTGATAACGACTTTGATTGAATTTTTATGAGAAAAAGTTTATAAATATAAATGACTGAAAATATAAAGCTGTTGAAGGGCTCATATTTGGGTGTCACCCCTATACGTACTCACCCATACTACATCCAACATGCACATCCACCGACAATCCACACCCTAAACTCTCAATATGGAAGAATTTGACTTCTCTTATTCAGCATTTTGCAGATTTTAATCAACCTTCGTAAAATTCTCCTGCCAATTCGCTTCTATATATGCTTGAAAATCTCTCTTGCGAGAATAGTCTCGACTCTGTCCAGCTCAGTTACTTTGAAACATTCCTGTAACAACTAGACACTCAAAAACAACTGATGGACATTTTATTCTTGTCGTCGATGAGTGCAAACGTCATATTACCATTCTTGATGTTCTTGTAAAATTTCATACTCCATTTTGTAAGTACAGGAATGTTTGAGATTTTTTTCATTATAAATTAAATTGATTTTGATTTTATTTTTTCTTTCCTCTCTTACCGTTCTCTAGTATATTTATAGCTTTTGCTTCGTTCTATTTCTTTCTTTCCTTTGACATTTCTGTTTAAAAAAAAACACGTTTTTTTTTCTTTATATACCTGACAACATCACATAAAACCATGTACATTTCTTTTTTTCTTCATATAGAAAAAATAAAAATGACTGCTAATATTAAAAGTCAAGGCGAATGGTATACAACTGATTGTGGCAGAGCACAATTTACATTACCTGTACGATATTAAAATCTTGTTCCTATTGGAGATGGAGCTTTTGGTGTTGTAATGTAAGTTGAAAACACTCATTTTATTCTATTTTTTGAACTCGTCTATCATTATTATTTAGTCGTGCTACAGATACAGTATGTCTTATTATGAACATGACGAGAAAAAAACGTGTAAATTCCTTCTAATTTAGGAAACAGGTAAATATGTTGCGATTAAAAAAATTTTTCATCCTTTTCGAAGTCAAATGTATGCAAAACGAACTTATCGAAGGCTTAGACTACTTATGTATCTTAATCATCCTGATGCACAAGTTTGTTGAACTCAATCTTTCTCTTTCTTCAAATATTGTCTGTATTTCTAACTTCTGTAGGTTGTACAATTGTACAATGTGTTTACACCAGAGAAAAATATCGATGATTTTCAAACATTGTATGTTATCAAAGTATTTGTGTTTGATGAAAATGTTTGTTTGCTTGTTTCTCTTGTTATCCAGATATTTTGTACTTAATTATGTTGACTATGATCTATTTCGAGTTATCAAACGTAATGTGCCGTTTACAGAAGACCAAATAAAATATATTATTTATTCACTTCTTCGTGGCTTAAAGGTATAGGGTTAAATATATATATATATATATATATCTTCAAGACTTTTCTACTTCCATCTCTCTCGTTTTCTTTTTGTTATATAGTTCATTCATTCAGCTGGTATCTTTCATCGTGTAAATAGAAGCAAGAAATGAAATGTTGATATGTTAGAGATTGTTTTTTGTTGTGTTAAAATAGGAGTTGAAGCCAAGTAATATTGGAATGGATAAAAATACAAATATCACAGTAAGTTATTGAATAATAAACTATGCTGAGTAATCATCTAAGGCATTATTTTCTTTTATTGCACCATAAGTGTTTTACCTAAAAATTCACATTCTCTCCACCACGTGTACTGTTTATCTCTTAACTTTGTAATATTTTGTTTCGTTCTGTATGTGTTATTTTCTCTTCGACGGAGAATATTTTGTAATAATAAATACACAGTATGCAAGAACATATGCACAAAGATCTTGAAGAATATAACGAATATTCATTTCAATATCAACGAAGTACTTGAATTGTTTTTCCTCGATCACAAGTTGGGTGCTAAGATAGTATGATTACACCGATTGATGTATGATTAGAAGATATTATGGACAAATGAATAAAAGATCTTTGTTTGGTGCCGTATCTCAACTGACGTGAATGAAATCCTAATATATTTAGTTGTTCCATACTCTAACCGATATAGAAGAACTTTCTGATAAGTAGCAAGAGAAAAATAGTTCTATACTTTGTTTGATCTATTCATTTTTAGAACTCCTTCTACGGATATATGTATCACCATCTGTGCAAAATTTCTCATCCATAACTTATATTCTCGAAGAACAACCAACAATACAAATAATCTTTTGTTTCTAAGATACACAGTTGTGTATATCGATAAAGATTCAAAATGACAGATTATAATCAAGAAAATCTCGCTTCTAAATACGTTTCCTCAATTCAAGATAGATGATGGTGTTGTAAAACTATTTGATATTCGTTTTAAATTTTGTGAGATATTATTATCTCATTTCTATCGATATTTATTCTTTATCACCACTCTCATACTTTTCTAATTTCCAACTTTTGATACTAACGAGGGAACCGTTCGAAGTGATTCAAAGCTTTTAAGCCGATATTTTGCCGATAAGTAGAGTCCAATGAGATTAGAAAAAGCCCAAAAGGACAAGGGCCCATGGGCCTTCCTTCTCG